AACTTGGTGCATAGTACATGGTTCAAGAAACCCAATGAAGTTGACCTATTCTCAATAATAGAAATTAAAAAAAATAAAACCATTGTGAGTTAATGTCCTCATGTCTATGTTTATTTAACTTTCAGAGAGGTAGCTATAGAGTACTGGTGTCTCAAGAGTGACCTACTATTCACCACTGGTGTCAGTAAAAGGCTTCTTCAGAATTCTCAATGATGCATCAAATTAGCAGAAATAAAGGTATGACCACTGAGCATTCAGATTCTGAAATATAGTTCATTACTTAAGACATTTTGAAATTATTTCCTATATTCTACATACTTTTTTGAAAAAGCACAACTGGTATCCTCCTGATAAACATGCCATGGGATGACAAGAAAATATCAGTACATGATGAGTATTTCTTTCAAAAAAGGTATTCTGACCCAAGAGAATTTAGAAACAATTCAAATATTTTAATATAAAATACATCTATTTTATTTATTTCTCAGTTTGTTATGTCAGTTATTTAGTTATAGTTTGCAAATTAGATTCAAGTGTGTTAGATCTTAGAACAAAATGTTGTGTAGAAAATAATGGGCATTAGATGATCTAAAATGGTTTGGTAATTGTTCCAAAGTTCCAACGTCTAACCATTTAGTGCTTATAAAAATCACATATTTAAAATCTCATTGTTTGCAATTATTTTAATGTCAAGGTATTTACTTTACTCAGTATTAAAATGCTGATTTTTTTAAAAGAGGAGTCCATGTAAATTTTGGCACATATATCTAAAAATGATAATTTGGGAGAAGAATGTATTTTTATTAATAGTTCAAAGCTATTAACTTGGAGGAACACATCTTTGCTTATACTTCAATCATAAGAATAAAACCACTATCCTTCCTTTGCATTACAACTTGGAATTTTCTATGGCAATCACACTATCATTCTGGAAAGTCAAATTCTCCTGGGAACAGCAAAGGAATAAGTCTCACTCACAGTGTCAATCTCCATAAATCACCTCTACTTTAAGGTACAGTCTAGTTAGAGCTCAGGGGTGATTATTTCTTAATTTATAAATGTTGAATTTTATGCTATGAGCTTGAGGAAATACATACTGATCCTATGTTCATAGGTAGAACTTTTAAACAAATCATAGTTTAGTTTTAGTTAAACTGCAGTGGTCATGAAATAATTTAGGTAGTAATTGTACAGCTTCTAACAAGAATATTCATAGAATTTTATCTAATTTTGTACAAATTTGCCATATTCATTAGAATAGCCATTAGAAAAAATAAGTGAAACTTGAACTTTAAAAGTTTTTATTTAACTTTTGGGTATCTGTGATGTTGAAAACATGGGGCTAAAATTATTGGCAAAAACTGAGTTTTAGAAAAATTGCAGTTATCTACAGATTTCAATTATATATACTACCCTTTCTCCATTACCCGCTAAGAAACTGAAAGTTGGACATATTAACTTGTTATATTATCTTCAGGCCAGAAGCTTTTGCAGGCAAGTTTGAGCTTATCAACTGTGAATTTTTAGAAAGTAGAATTTAAACATTGAACTCTGGCTTCAATACTGCCATCTGTCTCTCTCTTTTCCCAAACTTTCACTGTCCACTTGTTTCTCATTTTCAATGGTCTTCTTGAAGAGAACTAAAAACTCACTAACACCTACTCTGTCTTCCACCAAAGAAAAAGTAGAAGCAAAGTGTAAAATTTAATTTTAAAAATCTTAACTATTTCTGGTTTATTAAGTTCTTCCCTCAATGTGTTTATATTTTAAAGATTATGAAACCTTATGTTTTGTATGTTCATATTCAAATGGCTTCTTGGGATCTTGCTTTTTTGGAGTCCTGAAAAATGTCATATTGATCTGTATGAGTAAATTGGGGGAAAAGGACACTCAGAAGATTAATAAATGACAAGCTTGTTTCTATACAACATCATTAAGACATTATTATATTGATAGTAGGGAACTTTTGGGAGATTCTGTAAAGTTCATGTTTTACCTGACACCTAATGGCTTCTTTTTATCCTTAACTGCTTATCTGTTCTCACTCTGTATTTACTCTCTATTTCTCAAACATCAGGATACAAGCCATGAGTGTGTGTTTTTAAGTTCTAAAAGCAGAAAATGCCAGGTGAAATATTAAACCTGACTTCCCTTGCTTTTGTAATTCATCAGATAGTTCAGCATCAGTGGAATGATAAACAATTAAATCAGCACATTTGTACAAGTGTGGAAACAGCAGTGACTTGGCAGGGTTAAATAAAACGGTACAAATCTGCCTTTGGGCCATTTTAAACCAGACATTAAGAAATGAAATCTAAGCCAACAGGGTGAGAGAGATGGTGTTTACTTTGTCACAAACATTAAGTAAAATGTCACTTTGAATGTTTTTGCAAGGTTATTTCAATACCAAAAGTATTCTTAGGAAAGCTTCACTCCTTTATCTTTGGGATCACTCACTGTCTGTAAAGTTCAGGTAAAATACTGGGTTGGAGATGTAGCTCAATGGTAGAGTGCTTGCCCTGTAGGCACAAGGCCCTGAGGTCAATCTCCAGTACCACAAAGAAAAAAACAAACAATGAAAGAAAAAGGAAAAAAAAGTATATTAATGTTGGATTAGCCGGGGATTTAGCTCAGTGGTTCCAGCGCCTGCCTTGCAAGCGCAAGGTCCCGAGTTTGATCTCCAGTACCAAAAAAAAACAAAACAAACAACTAATGTTGGACTAATATCTTCAATTTTACAAATATTAATTGAATATCCAAAATGTGTAAGAAACTGTCAAGTGCTGGAGATATAGCATGAACCTTCTCTAAAATAGTTGCTCTCGACTGCAAAGGGCTCAAATGATCCACAAACAATTTTAGTCCCACCCCTCAGTGATTCTGAGTCATTGTGCCTCAGGTGGAATTAGGCATCTGTAGTTTTTCCAATGTTCTCCATGACAGTAAATATATTCAGGCAGAGTTAAGGCCTTTAGGAGGTCCTGAGGCCACATATTCCCTTAGAGAAAATACAAAGATGGAATAACAGTGCAGTAATGAGGCATACTGTGTAGTGGCATTGTAAGTACTCTCAATTTTGCTAGGGACAGGGGTATCACAGAGACAGGACAAGGGATAAGGAAGGTTTCACCAAGGAAGCAAAGAAAGCATAGTTCAGAATTCTAAGCTGGTACAGCTACCTACAAATGCTTCAACTTGTGCTTCATAGCAGGTGCTGTCAAGGGACCATGAACAGTTCCCAGAAAGAGATGCTATTACATAATGTATTAGCAATAAGGAGACTAAGAAAGGATCAGTGATGTTGGAAAAAAAAATCACAAAACTTCTAAGGGTTAGGATCTGAATCCAGTTCTTCTCCCTCCAACACAACATAAGTTCCAACGAAAAGATTGGATTTAAGTGATTTTCAATTTTTAACATTTAATATTAATTTTAATATTTTAATCCAGAAAGAGGTACCAGGAAGGGATGCCTCTTGAATTGCTATAGTGGCTGAGATGCTTGAAAACAAAGTCAGATTTTATTGTTTGTCTCATTTTTAATAATTTGACTGTGCTTCTTTTTTTTTTTTTTTTTGGTACTGGGAATCGAACTCAGGACCTTGTGCTTGCAAGGCAGGTGTGGCCCCACTGAGCTAAATCCCTGGCCCTGTGGGTGTGCTTCTTAAACCAGGTGAATATTTTACTTTTTTTTTTTGAAGTTGATCTAGTAGAATCCCCAAATACAGCAATGGCTTACAGAAAAACAATTTCTCCTTTGAATTGAATCCAACCTGAGCCCTAAGGAGGTTCAGACTGAGAGTTAGTGGTAGTCACATAGCATAGCTCCGCAACATCAGGGTCCCCTATGACTCTTACCCTCCTTTGTGCATTTTAAGTATGTAAGATTTATGATCTAACCCATAAGCCAAAAGCTCAGGCAGGAGTTTACTAATTAATCATTTTGCCCCAAATGTTCCTATTGGTTGTGCTAAAGCAGCTCAGGTTCAGTTCTTAAAAGTATCCTTGATAATACAAAGTGTGGGAAAGCAAGCAGTATCTTAGCTAATACCGTCACATCTATGTGATGCAAGCCAGCCATATGAGACCTACTAGTGAAAATTTTAATAACAAATCTTATCAAATAAAACAAGGATATAATCAACTAGAAATTATACTTTTATCCAATCAGAGGTAATTATGTTACAGAACTACACACTTAAATAAACACTCTCATCCTAAGATCATATCACTCAGATGTGTGAGTAGGATATTTAGTTTTTAACAGTTTTAGAATTGTTTTCACTCACAATGTTCTGTGTGCCTGAATGTTCCTCTCTCACCTCCCCTCATTACATTTCCTGCAACTTCCAAATGAACATGTGCCCTCAGATGCCTCTACAATACTCCGTATGTTCTTCTGCCTCCCTTGGGACATTCACCTCCCAAGTATAGGAACCATCCAGGCATCAAGCAAACTGTACTTCCTGCTAAAAACTTCATAGAATGAACATCAAATGCGAAGAATGAAATTTTCCAACAGAATTTCGGCTGTTAACAGGATCCTTCCCGTCAGCACTGCCAGCCCCAGCTGGAGTCAACCCTCCCCTACCAGTCCGAGAGGCACAGCATACTGTTGTGCAGTGCTGCCCCTGGAGGCAAGAGACCATGACGCCCCACTGTGAACTAGCCAGCAGTCTGCCTTTGGCCAGTTGTTTACCTCCCCTGATTTTGATTGCCTCTGTTGTAAAATTAGGACTAATAAGGGCTTATTTGTCAAGAAACAAGAAGCTGGTCCTCATGTTTTTATAAGGTCTCCACACTATGGCAGATCTTCGGAGGAAATCTTTCTTATTTTTGCAGAAACAACATAATTGGATCAAAAATAGAATATATAGTAATGGACTGATAGTGATCAACTGATTTAAATAAATTAGTTATGTTGCATTACTAAGTCTTATTTGTTGCATCTATTAACACTGCTATTTACTTAGGAAGAACCTCCAAGTTTTTATTTCTTACCTTTTGACTTTCGATCATGGTACGACCTGCCTCGATAATAGGGGGTGTCCAAATACAGATTCTCAAGATCTTCTTGCCATGATTCTGGATTGAAGTGCTTGAGCAGATCCTCCACAGTATCAAATTCTGCAACTGTTTTGTCCAGAGCATCGGCAGCGAGAGCGGGATCAGTTACTGATGGATAGTGATAGGATACCCCCTAAGAGTGACACACAGCTCAGTGTACTCAAAAAAAGTCCATTGCTGTGAAATACAATAGTCATATAGCTATATGGAAGGAACATAAACAAACTTCTGATTTTAAGACAGCATATATTTATGGGTTTTTGGGGGGGTGGGTTTGGTACCGGGGATCGAACTTAGGTCCTTGCGCTTGTGCAGCAAGCGGCGAAACCACTAATCTAAATCCCCAGATATTTATGTTGTTTGTGTTCTTGTTTTTTTTGTACTGGGGATCGAACTCAGGATCTTGCGCTTGCAAGGCAGGCAGTGGCACCACTGAGCTAAATCCTGGGCCTGACATCATAGGTTTAAACAGCATGCAAATACAATCTGGCATTTACTGGCTATATTCATAAATAAGAGTGATTAATTGGTAAGAAATAGTCATTCAGTTTTTTGGAAACCAAAGCCAAGCTGATCATAAAACTTCTAGTTCATCTAAATGTATAATAATTTACAAAGAGATAGCCTGGATGGAAATATAAAAATTAACTCACCCAATTTCTTGATTCAAGGTCCCAAATCTCCCACTTTTCAACTAATAATATAATGGTAATAATTAAAATTCTTAATTCCTTCCCAGCAAGTTTTGTTAATTTATTCCATTCTCTCACATCTATCCTCTATAATCTCCCTTACAGATCTCTTAGTATTGCAGATGTTATGTAAACAGTGCTGGACTCAACTCTGGAGACATTTTGATAAAATTTGGAACTGTAACCAACTTATTTACTGTCAACAGGGATAATTATCCCTGAAACTGGCTCCCTTAAGAGTACAAGATTCACATGGAAATTGTGTTAAAAAAAAAAAAGTCATAGCTTGCTAGTGTTCCCAATTGCCATTAAAACATTCTCCAGAATACTCTTTAAAGAAGGAACAGGGCATCACCAGGAGACTGGAAAAGATTATGTAGTTTGTCATGGAAATAAAACATTCCCACATAAGGTTTCCAAGCACTTACCTCACTAACCCTTGGACAATCTAGAGGTAAATGAGCCATGATTCAAACATCTCTGTAAAAATTCATGACCCATTAACAAGGAAATAGAGAGCACACAGCTTCAAATGATTTCTAAATGTCTTTAAAGAAACTGCCAAACAAATAAGATCCCCCAAGGGCAAATAACTCTTATCACTAAGGGAAAGTGGAAATTAATGAAAACTTGCTTTCCTGAAACTTAACTGCAGCATCCTATCAAGAAACAATATGTACTGTAGCTTCAGATACCAAAGCTCTAAAATTGTATTATCACCCTCAAGCCATGCTTTCTCTCTTTCACCAAACAAAGTTCAAAGGTCAGTAGTGATTACATGATCACTTGGTCTCAGAGGAACGCTCTCTTTTTAGGAAAATGAAGGCATGTGTTGTATCACTGGTGTAATTCTAGACCGATTTTCAGATATTCCCTACAGGGGAAGGAAGTAAGGGGGAAGACAGGGGATGGAGAGTAGGATGGGAGGCATGAGATAGATAATGAATATATTGGGCCAGATTTTTTTGTCTTTTCATTTAGAGAACCCATGCCTCTAATTTTCTGTCGGCCCTAACAAAATAAGTAGACATCCTTATCCGGACCAAACTTTTCCTGCCATGCTACTTTCAGGCTCTGTGTATGAGTCCACTCTATGTTCTGCAAAGGCATAACCAGGGAATCACTCAGCTAGTTACACAGTACTTGTCATAGGTTACTGAAGAGTCTAGGGATTTGTTAATAGTCCAAACCAAGATAAAGACACCCTCAACCACCATCTTGCTGATATGATATGGCCGTTATCTGGGTTCAGCAATATTTGTTATTCTGTTCATGATAGTGTGTGTATATTTGTGTGTGTGTGATGTGAGATGAATCCTATATATATCATCTCTTTCACATCTCTCTTGATACCAAATGCTGGATAACACTGATAATTCAGTACTGGGATTCCAAGTTCCTATTCAACTTGTATAGCTTACCTGGCTCATATTCGTGTGACAGTTTATAATTAACCTTGTATCACAATAATGTACATCTAAGATCCAAATATTGAAATGAGCTGACCAAAGTTAGGAGCATGCCAGCATGTAACAGCTTTGAAATTAAAACTCTTCCTAATTTATTGGAATAAAATCAGGGACATTAATCAAGCCTTTCCCATACAGGTAAAAGCTTCTTGCAATAGGTGTGGAGAAAATGGATGCAAGGAATTTTCTGGGTTGGCTCTAAAAAGTGTCTGAATGGAATAAAAAAAAAAAGTGTGTGGTCAAATATCTCTGTAAGCTCTCAAAGGACTCTCAGACCCTGGGACGGAGGGGGAAGTCTAACATCTTCTAACATTAAGCTGAAGAACAAATCCAAACCATACATAAAATGTGACCTTTTATATGGGTTTTACTGCTGCTTGCAAGTTTTGATTCAAAGTGCTTGACAGATACAATAATAGTTAAGAAAATATTTATGAGTGATTAGGTGACCTAATAAACCCCTGAGAACATTTGTTTCTGAAGTCAATATTTAAAAACTATTTTTGAGGGAAAGATTAATTTGGTATACTTCCTTCAGCTGCACTATAAATTTGATCTGATTTAGATTTTTGTTATGTATTTATAGAAGTCAATTTCTTTTTCTTTTTTTGCGGTATTGGGAATTGAACTCAAGATGTGCTTGCGAGGCCAGTGCAATGCCACTGAGCTAAATCCTTCGCCCTACAGAAGTCAATTCTAATGTTAACTGAACTACTTTGATAATAATTTACAAACAATACACTATAAACTGCACTGAACAAAAACAAAGAAGGTTTGCAAAGAAGAAAATGGCAGGTAAAATGAAGTTGAGAAAAGCAACTGTGATGTTCTGTTCTGCAAAGAGGGCTAAATAGTACCTCTTCTTAGAACTCAAATCAGAAATATCTAGTGGATATGGACTGGAGGCTGAGCATCCTCAGATACTCCAAACAGATGGGACAATCTCTCTGTTTCAAAAAGACCTGTGCAATTGTTTGGAACTTAAATGTTCCAGCAAAGCTCATGTGTAAAAGGCTTGGTCCCCAGAGTGGTTGGTGCATACTGGGAGGTGGGAGAGCCCTTAGTGGGTGGAGACTAATGGGAGGTCCTTATATCATCAAGGGCATGACACTGAAGGGGCTTGTGGGTACCTGGCTCCTGCTGCCTCTCTTTTGCTTCCTGGTCATTAGGTGAGTGGTTTTGTTTTGCCATGGGGTTGTGCCATACTGTACTGCTTTGCCCCAGGCCCAAAGCAGTGGATCCCATTGATTGAGGACTTCTAAAATTTCTACCCAAAATAAACCTTTTCTCTTTGTAAGTTGATTACCTCAGGTATTTTTATACTATTGGAAAGCTGACTAATTCTTCATGGATTATTTTTAATTACTAAGGATCTTTAAAGTATAATTTTGTACTTGGGACAGAAATAATTAGACCTATTATGACCTATTATGTATAAGACGTTTGAGAAGCTGGAAGCTCTCTCCAGACTCAACCTTGGTTGTAAAGGCTGCCACTGGCTGCCCAACCTCTCTGCTTAGTTTGAACAGCTCCTCAGTGTTACCTGCCTTGTTTTGACTTTTACTCTCCTGAAATGACTGGCTACACTGAACAAGGTTCAGAGCATGCATTCTGGAATGTCAGAAGCAAAGAAAACATTCATAATATCACCAGCAAAGACTTCATCTGTCTCTTGATCAGATGGTATTTTAGTCACAGTTGCCCCAGGTGATAGAATCCACAGCTGAGGAAATTCTGCTACATGAGTGAAATTTAAAAAACTTCCCAAGACACAAAAGACAGTGTGTTACTTTTGAAAAAAAAAAGATCAACTGGAACTTAGCTGCATGGATGCGCTTTAGGACCATGGACATGATTTCTGAATGCTCCTGCCCTTTCTATGAACAACTGCATTTATTAACTTGTGTTTTATTGCTACATAAGCACTACATGTATGATTGGTGAAAACAAGGTCTGCTCTATCTAAAGTAGATAAGGAGACAGAGTACTAAGAAATGACTAAATTTGGCGAAAAAAATGGGGTTATGAACCACTTTGAGCTTAAGGGTGAGTTATGTTTTATGTCTAAGTCAAATAGAATGCTCTACATGCCTGTTTTGCATTTAAGCTATCTTACTGTAAACAGATTTTTCAAGTCTGAAAAGACCCTTGAAAACACAAAGATTAACAGCTTCTCCTGGAATAATCAGAAAGCTATTTTGAAATTGCACACTTGAATTAGCCTGTGGATCAATTTGATATGGCCAGACAATCCTCTTGTTAGAACACTCTTCTTTAAAACTGACAAATATTTATGTTATTGGCTACCCCAAGTTCCTACAATCATCTACTGGCAATGCTTGAAAACCTTTCTTAAAGAGAAGCCAAAGTGTTCAACATAATCTACCATAACCTGAAAGAAATGGAGAAACATATCCTCAGGATTTGGCTTTTGGTTAAGCCACAGGTCTTTAATGTAGTTTAAGTCCTTCTGGGGTTGACCTTAGCTATTCCATCAGTTTCTTTTGATGGCAACAGAGTAATAAATTACTTACTGAGGTAGAACTTGTGACTGACTCCCAGTTGGTTTTAGAGGCTGCTGCAGGTTGGAAATCTTCCTAGAAAGCAAAGAAACATTGTGCTAGTCTGTTCAGTTCATTACGTGAACAGTTTTAACACCTTCTTAGCCTTCTGAATCTTCTTCCAACTAAGTGACATCAGAAAGAGGCTACATACTTACTGAACAGGTCACGTTCATTTTAAGTATCTCACCTCAAGAAATTTCTCATTCATGGCATGGACAATTATATTAAAATTCTCAGGGCTGGGGATTTAGCTCAGTGGTTCTGGTGCCTGCTTCCCAAGCGCAAGGTTCCGAGTTTGATCCCCGGTACCAAAAAAAAAAAAAAAATTCTCAGTGGAAAATGCACAGAGAAAAGTTTAAATTTTAACTAGGCTGTCTAGTGGAATGTGACCTCAGACAACCTCCTTAACCTGTCTAATCCTTCCCTTCTTCATCTTTGATAGGCTGGTATGAATTGTTTAGATTATAGGCCTGTTCTGAGAATTGGATATATTCATTATGTAATTTTAACTCACACTCAATAAGGTGCCTAATTAAGGGTAATAATTATCATTATTGATGTTCATTTTGTTCAAACTAGCTTCTGCATCATGTCTACTGAGTTAGTACACAATATTGGTAATCTTTCAATGTATAAACTAACTCCCAAAGGCTGTTCAGGACTCTGTGTGAACATCAGGATGAGTGGCAGGGGAATAATAGTTGTGGGAGTTATGAAGTACTAACCACCACAGCAGGTGGTCTGGATCTTAAATCCCACCCTCACCCCAAGGTTCATATGTTCAGAGGTAGGGCTTTTGAAAGGTGATTAGAACATGAGGGCTCTGCCTTCTTCAGTGGTTTATTCCATTAATGAACTCATAATTTAATGGCATTGTTGGGAAGTAATGGAAATTTTGGAGGTGGGGCCTAGATTTGGGAGTAGATGATGGGGAAATAAATTTGGAAACTATGTCTTATCCTTGGCCCCTTCTCAAGCCAGTCTCTCTCTCTTTCTTTCTCTCTTTCTCTCTCTCTCCATCCTTCCCTTCCTCCCTCTCCCTTTTTTTCCTTTCTCTCTGCTTCCTAGCTGCCATGAAATAAGCAGCTTTTCTCTGTTACATTCTTCCTCCATGATGTTTCCACCTCCTCACAGGCCTAAAACAACAGAGTCAGCCCACCATGTACTGAAACTTTGGAAATGGTGAGCCAAAATAAACTTTTCCTCCTCTAAGTTATGTCACATATTTTGTCACAGTGACAGAAAACTAACGCACCACTCAAGCAAAGATAGTAAAGAGTGGGCCAGCAAGTTATCTCAGACAAACTTGAGGAGACTTTTGAAACAATGGATCGCACAGAAAGAAACTTTTTTCAAAAGGCGAACTTATTTCCCATTTGTATGTGATTTCCATGTTATTTAATCCAGTAGCAGTAAATTTAAAAAATATAATTAGATAGGGAGCTGATTCTGTCATCTTTACATGGTGTCACAGATGGCTTCTTAACCCGCTAAAATAAGTCACCTTGGTGAATTTTTTCCAGCCTGACCAGCAAGCTGGAGGTGTTTTGAGATGATACTGAGAAATATTCAGCCATTCAAGTCTGACAGCTTATTTACCTAAGTATACTTACTGAATGAGAGCTAAGTGTCAGTCTAAATTTCATTAACATTTCAAGGAGTTGGAAGTGCATTTGTTAATTGCTCACGATGAGACTGGTTTATATATAAACATTTGTGTTGAAGAAAATTTCAGTTGTTTGCCAAGCAAAAACTGAATGAAATGTGGGGTTTCAAGGAATGAATGTATATTTAAAACTGGCTAGACATCATTACTCTAATCTCAACTTCATGGAAGAGAAGAAACAGAAAATGTGGTCTATGCACTCTACAAAACAGAATATATATAAAAAGGACACTCAAATATCACATTAGAAAGATGTAAGCCAGCAAATAAAAGTTGGCGTTTATATGAGTCATGTGCAGGTAAGCAGGTTAAGACTGGCAACAAGATAAGAAAGAAAGTAGCTTTTCCACATCTTGAAAAAACTATTTATTTATTTTTTGGTACTGGGGACTGAACTCAGAACCTTGTGCTTGCAAGGCAAGTGGCGCGACCACTGAGCTAAATCCCCGGCCCTGAAAAAACTACTGATATGAAGACAATTTCCAGGTATATTAGTTTACTTTCCATACTATAACAAAATATTTGAAGCTCAGTATGAAATAAAGAAACAAGTTCCTCACAGTTTTGGAAGCTAAAAGTCCAACATTTAGCAGCCTTATTTATTATAAGGCCCCTATAGGAGGCCTTAAGGGGAGCCTCTAAGGAGAACCTAGTGGCAGATAACATCACAGTAGTAGCATGTGTTAAAGGGAGAAATCACATGGAGATAGGAATCCAGAGAGGGGAGAACTACACTAATCCCTCAGTGACTTTATGATCCCCACTAGGCACCACTGTTGAAGGTCCTACCATCTTTTAACGGTGCCATACTGGTGACCAAGCTCCCAGTACTTGAGTCCCTATACTTGAGTATTTGAGGGTCACACTCAAATACCATCCAAACCATAGTTCCAAATAAGATAAAGGCTTGAGCAATTCTTAGATCATAAAGTTTTCATTTTCACTTATTCATTTACTATTTGTTAATATTCTCCTATGTAACAGTGTACTTTCTAAACTGAGGTTAAATCACATGGAAATAAACTATCGGAATCCTCAGGGAGTTCAGAAGGCAAATATATAAATAAACAGATTCAGTAAAGTCATGCAGGTACTCTGATATCAGCCTAATTAGAATAACATGAAGGGTGGTAGAAAATTGTTTCTGGAGTGGAGGTGCACTGGAAAAATGTCCTATAAGAAGGAGACTCTGAGTGAAGTTTTGCATTATTGTTTATATCTAAAATGTCTCCCCAAAGTTTCATGTGCTCAGTGGTAAGGCTTTTGAAATGTCACTGGGTCATGGGGGTGCTATATTCCTCAGTGATTCCATTGATGAGTTCATAGCTGAACTCATGTACTGTTAGGAGGTGAGGGTAGCTGCAGGAGGTGGGTAACTGGGAACCTGGCCTGGAATAATATATTTGTTTTTATTTATTGATATATGTTTGGGATTCATAATATTTACCAATTTCAGTCGATGCTTGGCTGGCTCCAGGGCAGAAATGGCATGGTAGGAGGACACGGCAGAGGAAATCTGTTCATCCCATGTCATTCAGGAAGAAGATAAAGAGAGAGAAATGCACACTATACACTTTGGGGAGACAGGGATAAAAAATGATCAAGAACTCCCCTGCCATGTCCTCCTACCATGCCATTTCTGCCTTGCAGCCAGCCAACCATGGACTGAACTCACTGAAATCATAAACTCCTCCTTTAAGTTTCAGATGTTGGGTATTTTGTCCCAGCAAAGATAGGAAAGTGACTAATATACCTTGAAAGGTAAGTAGATGGCTGCTTGCAAGAATAATGGAGTAGAGTACTTAAAAGGAGGGAGATGCTTAGACTATATGAGAAAAGTCTACAGATAAAGAAGAAAATTTCTAGGTAAAGTTAATGCCATGTTGGACATAGCATGTTTACAAGTGTTTCTACAACATACAAGTATAGATGCTCAGGAGGAAGTTCCTTTTGTTAGATATCATGAGAGAGAGAAACTTAAGGAATAGATCTGGGAAATATCAACACAAAAATGACAATCAAAGTAGATAAAGTATTATGTTGATAACATGGAAAAATCAGAAAAAAGACATTTAAAATCTTGGAACTGGAAATAGGATTAGGATTATCTAGTCCAATCTCATTTTAACAATAAGAAAACAAGTTCTCAGAAAGATAAATGACATGATCTGTGTCTGGCAAAGCTAGGACCATCAGGAGAAACTATGTGGTGAACTTTCACACTATTACAGCTGCCTTGAAGAATGTTTGCATGGGGAAGAAAAGACGAACCATGACCAAAGAAGGAATTATTACATCAGCAGAAAAGGCAGGAAGTAATGTTGGCAAAAGCTGTTTGGAGATGTTCTTTGAAGCTATTCCTAGTTATTCAGACTTGATACCAATACTTAATTCTGTGACTTTAGTTTGTTTTCTTACATAAACTCATAGTGAAAATATATTGCTAAGCTTTTTTTAAGTACAAAAGGCCTGTCATATACAAGTAGCTAGAATAATGTTACAAAAGAACTTTCAGTTTCTGTAATTTCTGGCTTGCAGAATTCCAGTCAGAAACTTTGATAAAAACAAATGATAAAGGATTTCACTAAATTAATGATAAAATGTAACTTTATCCTCTTCTAGTAACACAACTATTAGACATTTTAAAGAAACCAACTTTCTTTTCTGTTACTTCAATATTTTGCCATCATTTATGAATGACATATATAAAATGAGTTTATAAAAGGGAATAATATCCCTTATAAAAATAAAATACTGCACTGTCAAGGGTTTTGCATTGAAGAAATCTGAGCATATGGAGGAACATAGTGATTTTGCCTTCTAAATATATCCTCAGTGTGATCATTTTTCATCTCTTCCACCATAATCTCCCAAATACAAGACATTAGCAAGCCTCCCTGTATCTTTCTTCTTAAATCCATATTCCACATAGCCACCAGAATTATCTCTTTCAATATTAAATCAGATCATTTCTATCCCTTCTTAAAATCCTCCAATAGCTTTCCAGTACACTGGATTATTTGTCAGATCTGACTGACTGCTCTCATCAAGATGAGTGACTTCATTTTGAGTATGTGACCTCATCTCCTGGTATCACTCTCTGATTTGTTGTTCTATATTTCCCACTGTCTCCACTATGTGGCTACACTGGCCTTCTGAGAGTCCTTCACAAAACACGCCAAGCTTCTCTCCTTAGGTTTAGTCTGCTGCTGTTACTTCTGCCTGGATGTGACTTCCCCAAATGTTCCAAGGGCTGGCTCCTCATCATTTGGTTGTCTGCTCAAGTTTCTTTTCAAATCTTTGGAGAACACCCTTGAGCATGCTGTTTAAAGTACCCTACCCTTAGTCACTCTATTTAACCTGTTTA